GGGGGGGGGGGGGGGGAGGCAAGGAAACACTGCCCCGCCTGATTTCAACAGCTCATGAGGATGGTAACAGAATACACTGCAACCCAGGACACCAGGCAAGTAAAGAACTGCTAAGGTGAGTTTAACTCTCAGCTTTGCTGCTCTGATTATAATACTAATTCTATCTGGCACAAAATCTACACGGCTGCCCTAAAGGCGGTCTCCATGGCTCCTCAGGGTAGAAACTGATGCAGCTGAAGATCTGCTTGAAGAAGAAAAAAAAATCGTCAAAAAGCCAAGCTGTGCCAGGGCCAGCACACAGGAGGCAGCGAGCACAGCAGCTGGAGGTGGCAGAGGCGGCAGCAGCAGCACAGGTTTGTGCTGACATAGACATAGTGTGTCCATGCAGCCGTGGATTTCATGCAGTAGAGACATTAACCAAGTAAGACAGTGTCAGGGCCCAGATCAAATGCAGCAGTGCCAGGTTCAGCAGTAGGTCAGTTCATCTTTTTCTCAGCATCTTTCACCTTTGGAGTGTTACCCCTGCTTTAATCAGTGAGCATGATCTATCACTGGCTTTGCCAGCTGTGCCCTCTTCTGCTTCAGACAGAGTATATCAGCTGCCCTCTTTATTTATAGATTAAATAAAAGTCAATTTAAACAATTAAACAATTCATCCCATTATTGGTTATTTATATTTTTCCAGTAGAATCATATCACCCATTTTATGTCAGGTATATATTATATATAATATTATATATTAGCAGAAAGGGGTTCAAGGCTGAGCCACCTAAGAGAAAAGAGAAGTCACCATCTTTTCAAGAGTCATTGACCTTAGATTGATCTCCACAATCCAGACTATTTTATCTGGCAACTGACCGTTTTATTTCACTGTTGCAGAAGGGGATTCCAAATGACTATAGCTCTCCTGTTTCCAAAGTAGCCTTCACCATGTGGGATTTTCATTGCCTGTCTCTTTGAATACCACATGTAAGGACGGTGCCTACCAGACAGAGAAGGAGATCTAGAGACAAACTCATCACTCATTTTTTGGAAGCAACTACTACTTAAAATCTCTGTAGAGCTCATTTCCTATAGAACTGGAGTAACTTGTCTTCCCTTCTCCTGTTAGGATTCTTATTTTTCTTCTCTTTAGTGAAGATATCCCAGCATGTTCCTTTAACCACCAGCACAGATTCTAATGTGGACCTCTGTTAATGTTGCTTAAACTGCTAGTAGAAAAAGTTGGAGTTTTAAACTCATTCTCAAGATACAGATCTGAGTAAGTCTTCAATTCAGTTTCCAACTGACATCTTATTGTTAATGTCAGTATAGAAGTTTATTCTTTTTCTTCTAAAATTAGACTCACTTGAGCCAGTACCAGCACCAGCTTAATTTCTAGGGTTCTTTGACATTGATTATACTCTGGCTTTTAATCATGGTCTGTGACCTTTTCTGAACAATCAAGATCTGTCATATAATAGGATAGTACATTCTCCATTTTTATAACTCTATTACTCCTCAAACTTACTTTCTAATGGGAGCCTTTGTGAAGAGTGCAGTCATCACTTAATGTGATTGTTTAGCCTGTGCAGTTCTCATCTGACCCAAACATGGTTACACTTTTCATGGCTACCCAATGGTCCTACACAAAGATATAGCACTAATGCACAAAAACCTCATTACAGAGGGACAGCCAATGTAGATTTCTCATTGTGATAGGGACAGCAGCAAGAATTTTATGCTTTTCAAATAATGAAGTACCAGAATGAAATTTTAGATAAGCTCATCGGCATTCAGAGAGACAAGGTAGTAGTTGGGTGGTAGGTGAGGTGCTGTGTTGCACAGCATATGAAACCATGAGGGTTAGAGGAGGGAAAAGCAGTTTGTTCGTCTTATTTCTGATATTCTATTTCTTGCAAGGTGATATCTGTATAACAGATATGTCCTTTCCCTGTTGGTCGGCTGAACGGGAAGGGAATGATAGAACGGATATTTTGAAAGAAATCTCTTCCCATTTTCTTCCTGAAATAAATCCATCATTTCCCTGAGGGTTTTCTGGAAAGGATTACAGGATTTTGTTTTGTTTTCAGCACAAAACATTCCATTAAGCCTGACATAAAAGTGAGGAACAAGATTCACACAGCTGCTGGAGGAACAGAAGTGCAGGCAGCAGTACGTTCCTCTTCTGTGTAGCTTGGTGGTTACAGCATTTGTTCACCAAAGGGAAGACTTGGGTTTTGTTCTCAGTTCTGCCTGTGTGGGAGTGAACATACATCTCCTGTTTCACAAGTTGTACTCTGAATCCCCAACTGTGTGGAACAAGTGGGTATGTACATAGACATCAGTTGGAAAGGAAGGAGCATTGGTAGTATAATCTGGTCCCACTGACATCACTCCAGGTTGTGTAAATAATTACTTATTCATTGGAACAGGAAGCCAAGAGTCCCAGCTCTTGGGCGAGTGTCCTAAACATAAGGCTTGGAGAGTAATTTTCTCTCTCACTCTCTGCCTCAATTAATAACCTTTGATGTAAACCTGGAATGAATCCAGCAGTCATGATTGAATCGCACCCAACTTGCAGCTTTTGGTTCAAACCACTTCCCTAGAGAAAGCCAAAAGGTAGCTCGGAAAACAGTCCCTCTCACATCATGCACATACAAATGAAAACTAAATACAAATCTACAGGCTCTCTATTTTCAGGGAAAAGAACTGTAGAAATAAACACAAAAGATGGCATTTAATATAGCAACAGATGATATCCAGACATCCCAATTGTGGAGCCACAGTTTAGATAATATTAATAGAATAGAAGAAGCAATTTCTGCTTCTTGGCTTCTTACAGCACTCTTCTTTTTCCATTACAAATATACCAGCTCAATTCTAATTCAGTAATTTTTAAGGATTTGAGGTATTTTATTTCTTTTCCTACTGTTTTGTTAGCACTTTACAACCACATAGCAAAAAAACTAAATAACATTAGTGTCTTTCACTGCTAGATCTGACATGTTGGATTTTATTTAATACATGAAATGTGTCTAGTTGCTTTTAAATATCTATTGAAAAATGTTCAAATGTAAGTTTCAGGAATCTGTATAGCACCTAATCAAGTTGTTTGTAAAATACAAAAATATAATATTATTGTTCTTTTTCCTTTTATTTTGAAGGAGATTTAGCTTTTGAATATTTATATAAACCTTGTGATGCTACTGAATCTGCTGTCTTTGGGAAAGCAAAATATATGACAGCTGAAATCTGTAATGTAATGGAGGTCTTCTGTAAAGCTTTGGATTTAATCTCTGATATATTCTGCTATTCAGGCAAATGAGAAGACGGGCAATAAAATTACTGCATGAAACTAGAGTCAAAGTAACATTAGTCATGAGCATCCTGCTCTCATTTTGCAAGAGAAATACTTAAAAAAATCCCAAAACAAACTACAAAGTATGACATAAACATGATGATATTCATTTGTGTTTTGAAGGTCATGAAACTAAGGCCATGCTAAATAACAATGGTCCTCGTTACAAGCGCAGCAAGATAGAGCGACGGATGAATATGGATATTTTCTTATGTGTGGGACTTCTGTTCATGATGTGTCTTGTTGGAGCTGTAGGTATGAAGCACTGACAAAGATCTTCTGTTTCATTGCTTTTTTTCTAAAAGGTGGTTAAAATTGATCTTCTAGACATGAATGAGATCAGATCTAGAACTGAATGCTCTTGGGGTCTTTAGGCTCCTTGGTCTTTCAAATAGACAAGTTAAAATGGCAAATCTGAGCAATTCAGATGGAAGAAACTCATCTGTGGTTATAAATATTTCAGATAAGACCCATCTCCACTGTGGTAAAATGTGTCAAGCAAGCAAGCGAAAGCCATTGTACTAATGCATTATAGGAATTGGTAGCTGCCAACTGACATCTGCTTCCTGAGTGGATGTTTGTTCCTTGTGTATAACAACAGAAGTAGAATGATCTACCTCACCTTCATTTAGTAACATCTTCCTCTAATACGTTCAGGAGTGATATTAGCCAGTTACCCAGTTTACAACCCATGAGCGGCACGTGACTAATTCAGCCAATTTACAGAATTCACAGCTACCTTCCTTCTCAAAAGCACCTTTACAGCAGGCTGTGAGATGGATTAATTGTTTAGGTAGGAATAGACCGCATTTTTCTGAGGTCCTTGTAAGTAAGCACAGTTGGATGTAGTAACTGTGGTTAGCTGACTAGAGTTTACTAGATTGCTAGTCTTCACTGCACATAAGCACCTGCTTGCCTTCCAGCTCTGATTGCAATCTGTCCCAGGCAGGTCACCATTAATAGGATCTCATAGTCCCAAGGAAAGGGCCAAATTTTAAATCCACTGTGAATGGGTCACTATTTTAAAGAGATAACAGAGGCTGCCATGAGCACTTTGCATTCAAAGCCCTTTTCTGTTTTAATCCGTTCCATCTCCGTGACAACTTGCTTAGTCCTACTGCTCTGGGTTAGTTTGTAGTGACAAAGTCAAATCATGTGGCCCTGGTTTTCATGAACCTGCGCCGGAGGCATGTCATGTGACACACCAGTCAGTCATCAGTCTACTGCCATTAGAGTAAGGGCCATCCAGAAAAGATTAATTGAACTGACTTAATCACTTTTTAAATTTTACTGCTTCAAGTGGCTTTTTTGGCACAGAAATGGGATTTCAGTTTGACAACTGAGCTCTCTGTGAGGGAGAGTCTTTATTTTCACTGTTCCCTGGCTGCTGTCATATAGATTTAGAGACTTGTCCTTGTCTGGTGTGTAGGGGCCCTTGAGTAATAAAGTCCTTTAATTTAAGATTTAAAATGGTCTCTGGAAAAAAAAAAATCAGCATTTAAAAAACAATTTATCTACTCAGGTTTAAAAAAGAAAAAAAAAAAAATATATATATATATATATAAAATGTTCATAGTCTAAGTGAAATAGTAACAAGTCCATTAGCTTTCATCTATTCAAAATGTCCCATAGCTCTACCATGAGTTCTTGCTTTGCAACCTTGTCTAGTGTAGAGTGTAGGGTTCTAGGAAGATGGTGGATTGGTTATCAGGATTTTTCATGCACACAGTGAAAAATCAGGCTAAGAAGTGTCTTGTAGACTATAGTTGTCCTTGCTCAGATGTGACTGGTCTCTAGCAGCCAGAAAGTATTGATGAAATAATTTTAATTCCTTTGGCAGCGTTTTAGTAGTCAGATGCTGCAAAACGACTGCTTGCTTAAGTGGTGCTAACAGAAGTTTTATCAGAGCTGGGTACACAAAGCAGACTAATAAAGGGTTTTAGCATCTGGAGCGATGATGCAGTGAGGGAAACTGAGTTGTCCTAGCTCTGTGTGAAGTTTCTGATGCTGTAAATTTAGTAACATCCTTGAGTGGTTTATTTCAGTAATGGCAGTATGAAAGGTGGCAAATAATCATGATGGGATGTTAAGTGCTGAAGTGGAGGCTTTGTTGTAGTAGTGTAATGATATCTGCTGATATTTAAGACACAGGGGAAGAAGCTGTTTTGGGGTATGTCTTCATTGAAGGGAATGTAAAAATGAGCTGCAGACTGAATTATAGTGGTCTTGTGAACTCTGACAAAGACAGCTTGAAATCAAGAATGGTCAGGAAGGAGAAGAAAGATTTCAGAAACAAGAATGGGAACCTTCAGTGGTGAGGACTTTTAAAGATAGGTAGTAGAGATGGAGACCTCCAGCAGCAAGACATAGAATGATGGCAGATCTGTGTAGAGCTAAGTGTGCTGGGGGTCACCTGCTGAAGGAGAGGTGAATAAAAATATCCACGACTGCTCATTTCTTACTAACATATCAATTATATGCGTGTGCTACAGAGCTCTGATGACACTTTGCATTCTCCAATAGATGTACAGCATTGCTCAGGGCCTGTTGCTTTTGAAATGATCTTTCTTTTTAAATATCATGGCAGTCCATATCTGCAAATTTCAGAAGCTCTGTCAATCACAAATCACATACTGCTCAGGCTATTTCAGTATATCATTGTATATCATTCCTACAGGGCATGGCATTTGGACAGGAAACTTCTCGGAGTATCCACCCTATGATGTCCCAGATGAAAATGGCAATTTTCTGTCTCCAGTTCTTGCTGGTTTCTACATGTTCTTGACAATGATAATCCTGTTGCAGGTAAAAGACTAAAACCTCTCTGTTGCCTCCAAGGAAGAAGCTATTCAAAACTGAGTATAATCACTAATGAACAGTTAATATCAACTAATAGCTGTGCATTACCTTCTTAACCTTATTTGAAAATATTGCTAGGAGTGTTTCAAGTCATCCAAGTGTGAAATAGTGTATCTTTTTTTTTTCTTTCACACTGCAGATTTTTCTTTCTTGCTGTTGAAATCCCACAAGGATACAGATAGGAAGGACATGTATTATATCTTTAAATAACTCCAGAATATCTAGCGTATGCAATAAAGAGGATATTTACATCCAAATGTCAGCTTGTTTTTTGGTTTTTTTTCTGCCTATGTCCAGAATTCCAAAATAAGAACACCACTTAATATCTCAGGAAAAGTGAAGCAAAAATTGTTATTTTTGTCAATAGGGAATAATAGCTAGGTATGGTTCAGCTGGTTTAGGAAAGAAGCTAAATCAGAAGTAGGATGCTTGTATATCTGAGTCTGATTAAGCCTAATTGGGAGAGAACATTTTATAGGATGGGAGAAATAATCACATTTACTTTTCCGATTTCTTGATGTAACTGCTGAGATTTAAGTGGACAGAATTTCTTTAATATGAATTAAATGTGAAGATAACTTTCAGAGTTGCTCAGAGATTCTGTGGGGGATTATTCTTCATTACTGAAACAGAATATTTGTGCAACTTGAGAATTCATTATTATTTCAGGGGAGGGAAGCTAGTGGGTGGGAAGCTTTGTGTGCAAAGTAATTGCTTGTGAAACTTTTTTACATTAAGAGTTAGCCTGTGCTAGTGTGTCCTTTCAGAGTTTCAGGAGGGTAAGAGCAAGTATGCTCCTCAGTCCAGAGGATGTTTTTTGTAAGAGCATCCTCTGAAAGACCCATCTTTGTTTCTTGTATTCTAGGAATTTTGCCTTAAATTTGTCACTTACTGTCCCTGTTTATCTATTGCTGTTATGTGCAGGATATTTTTTCTCCCTTAAATTATTATTATTTTTATTCCACCCTACAATATATCTGTAGGAAGAACAGTTTGTCTGAAAATTATTAATATACCTGTGCCAGGACATTGCTGACAGAAGGCAATAAGACTTGTCTCACCCTTCACTGAGAATTTAAACTCTCTTTCAGGTTTTAATCCCCATTTCGCTTTATGTGTCCATTGAGTTAGTCAAATTGGGCCAAGTCTTCTTAATTCACAATGACATTGACCTGTATGATGAAGAAGCAGATTTGCCTATACAGTGTCGTGCCCTAAATATTACTGAAGATCTTGGGCAAATCCAGTATATCTTCTCAGACAAAACTGGGACACTAACAGAAAACAAAATGGTATTCCGACGCTGTACTGTCGATGGAATTGAGTATTCACATCAGGAAAATGGTAAGAGTCACTTTTTTATACTTGCTTTTCTCTCTGAGCAACTAAGTGTTATTAATTTAAATATCAATATTTAAACCTACTGAACCCTCTGACTGAATGTAGAGCCGGGTGGATTTGCCTCCATTTTGCGAGGGACTCCTGTTAACAGAGATTCATGAAAGTGAAGGTGTGAAGTCAGATGGTAAAGGTTTTCTGGTTCCCTCTGCAGGCATCTCATGCTTTGCCCTGTATTCAATACTCAGAGAGTGCAAAGAGATCATTTTCTCTTTCATTTGTAAATGAATGCCAGCCAATTTTTTATGAACTCACAAGCTGAGATTAGTTAGTAATTAAACTCAGTGGGTCCAAAAGTAATTACCATAGACTTCTGTGTGATATGAAAGGTACAGCTACACATTTTCTTGAGTTGATGCTATCTGCAGTCCATATCCGAAGTCTCTTTGCATTCAGTGCTCTGAATCTGGGGGTTTGACTCAGGCCCATTCTTGGATGGTACTTTCTCTCTCTACATAGTGCAAAGGATTTTATTAAGCTGGCAAGCAGCTGCCAAAAAGACATTTGTGCTCTGTGACTGAAAACATTAGCAAATATGTGAATTACCATATTTAACTCTCTTGTTCCACTCAACTGCAAAATGCAGCTAAAGAGACCAAGGATTAGCAGAAGTCCATAGAAGTGACTGAACGGTTTGAAAATGCATTTTCTTGCAACAATAAACATTGGAAAGTGGGACTTGCCAGAAACTGAAGCGGATAGTGAAGTTTTTCTGGTGCTGGCTTTTGAGATGTTTTTGCTTAAGTTTAGTTTGTTTCAGGTTTTTTTTTTTTTTAACCAACCAAGGAATTCCTCCTGAGCAATGCAAAACACAGACTAAGAGGTAAGGTTTCAATCTCTCTCTTTACAGCCAGGCGCCTGGAGAACCACAAGGACTTGGACTTAGATGATGAGGACTTTGCAAAATTTCAACACTTCACTCTTCCTCCCATGAATATTGAGAGACAAGCCACTTACAAACAGACGACCACGAAACCTTTAGGGAGATGCCAGAGTGCTAGGGCTCATTTTCAGGGGCATACACGGAACAGGTCACTTGGTCGTCGTGACAGCAACCAGTCTCAAGTGGCATTCAGCAGTACCATTGTGAGTACAAACAGACTGAGCTAACACATTTTAAGATCTTCTTTCTGTTGCATTTTGTGATGGGAATCCAGTAGGTGGACAGGAGTCCAAGCCCTGGTGGACCTAAAAGAGGGAAAGGGGAGACATTGGGGTCTTCATGTGGAGTGTGCAGACTAGAGTCAGCAGAGAGTTAGGTAAGGGTTTGGGAATATGGGTCCTTGTATCAAAGACTGCAGCAGAAGCACGAGGGCGCTCAAAAACAGTGAGTTTTTGTGACAGTTGCTTGACAGGAGGACGAGACATGAATTTGAGGTCCAAGGATTGAGGCTGTGGTTCATAAGAGCAAGACTTAGCACAGGAGGAATGAGCTTTTTGTGCTGTTCTGGTATGCTAAAATGCCAGGGAAAATGAGATGGTGATTCTGGGCTGAAGCTATGTAAGAGAAGCTTACACAGGGAACGTGAGTCTGGGGCCTGGCTTTGCAGAAACAGCAGGTACAGGTTCTCCTGGGAGATGATGGCTGGAAAGACAGTATGAGTTTGAAGTCTGAAGTCAGAAAACCACAAACTACTTCTGCTACTATCACTGCAACATGCTGACTGTGTTAAACAAGGTTTAGCCACCCCTGTGCTGCGCATGCAATATGCCCAAGCTGCACTCTCCAGAGCAGTTCTGGGATTTTGTTAGTGTGTCAAAAGATAAATACTGCATTTTTCAAGAAAAAAAAAATGTGTCAGACTATCTGGATAAATCATATGACAAATATGAAGATACAGTAAATATTGAGACACTAGAATATTGCCCAGAGGCTGTCCTGTATGTTGATATCCTTCAAATGTTGTGTCATAATATCTTTCTTTACCAGCCAAGACAATTCTCTATTAAAAAAATGGGCATAATAAAATTTTCTGTATCTCCGTGGTTCCTGACCTGTGGAACTTATATCACCTTGTCGGATGCATTTGTATTTTTCTACAAATCTGGAGCATCTTGAGTACTCTAGTTATACAGACAGTATTATGGGCCTGAATGTATCTCAGTAGTCAACATTTCTTAAGAAAAATACATCTTTGAACAACGTGTGAGTGAAGACACAAGGACTGCTATTTAACATGATTAATTTAAGGGTTGCAGAGCCCTTCTGGATGAATAGCTCTGCTAAAATAAAAGCACTGAAGTATTCAGTGGCAGTCAGTGATTGTCAAACACAATCCTCACTATAAAATTGTGAGACTTGGCTTCTTCAGATCAACAAAATGCAAGAGAAAAAAACCCCAAAACTGCTTAACATAATAAACAACGTAAAGTCCTAAGGCCAGTAACTGGCATTGTACAATTTGTTGTTGTTGGCTTTTTTCTTAGTAAGTGTCAAGTTTCCAAGGGTTGATGTGCCAGCTGCATGAAAGCTATCCGTGAAAACTAGTAGCTACAGGTAACAGTAAAACTGAAGAACTTTGCAGTGCTAAGACAGTGATGTTTGGGTAAGGGTTAGAACAGCATCTGCTATGAGCACCTGCATGTCAGAGCTGTTGCCAAGAAAAGCATTTTAAAGCAAGAGTTGTTAACATAATAGTATCCTACAAAATGGACAGAGTTTGATTTGAAAGTAACTGTGACAAACAAAAGATAATAATTTACAAATGTCAAATTTATATGTGAACAGTTTTTAAAGGAAAATTATCTATGCAGTGATCACAAAATTTACTTACTCTCAATCAGCCTTACATGAATCGGTGATAAGCAGGTTGCATATGGTATTTTAAGTGCATTTGTACAGTGGTAATTGATTCTGCCTGCAAATCAGCATGTTTGAACTTTGTCTCAGTATTCTGAGCAGTTCTGCAATTAGGAAGGTCTGCAGCTACAAAATGTATTTCAGCCTGCCTGTTTGTGAGTGTTCCCTGCTTGACAAGTTTTGATGTTTTGCTGAAATCCAAGAAGCTCTTCTCAATTAACATGTTCATTTCAGTGTGTCTCTGAGATAGAGATGAGGATGATGGGTTTTTTTCATGGCGATTGATAAAGTTAATTAAACTGGAGCCTGCAGATCCTAGAAGAATAACTAAATAACATTGCTTGTCTTTTCTGGAGTAAAAGTAGCACAGGTATAATGCAGAGCCTAACTCCTAGGGCTTACCCTCTGGTTTTGCTCCTGCCTATACTTTTGTCTGTAGTCTTCATGGTCCATGGCAGTTTGTGGAGCCTCCTTACATACAATTTATGCAGTTCATTAGAAATGATGAATCCTATGTCCAGTTACAGCTTCCAAAAATTCAATGCCAAAGTCTATTCAGTGGGAAGGAGCTTGACCAGGTCTTAGATAATTGAAAAGCAAATTCCTAGCTTATTTTGCTACTCTTACTAAACATAAATACAGAGATAGAGATCTACCTAATAATAGTTACACTTGGGAAATTAGAAACTGAGCTGAACAGATCTGTTTGAACACAAATTCAAGCTATTCCAAAAACTTTCAGTTGAGAATTGCTGCCAAGCGTATAGTGTTTATATTGATAACATAAAAATGTGAAAAGTGTGTGTAGCTCTTAGGTTTTATGTGGAATGGAAAAGAAAGAACAGTGTAGTCTTTGCTTCAGAGATCTCCTAGGGTATCTGAGAAAGACAAATGTAATGAGTGATTTATTCATTCCATAAATATTTATGAGAAATCTGGGAGGTGACAGGCATCACAGAATCACACAATGGTTGAGAGAGGAAGGGACAGAGAGTTGCCCAGGATTGTGTCCAGATGGCTTTTTAATATCTTCAAGGATAGAGGCTGCATACCTCTCTGGGCAACCTATGCCAGTGCTCTGTCACCTTCACAGTAAAAAAGTATTTCCTGATGTTTGGATGGAACTTTCTGTTTCAATTTGTGCTTATTGCCTCTTGTCCCATCACTGGGCACCACTGAAAAAGCCTGGCTCTGTCCTTTTTGCACCTCCCTTCAGGTATTTATATACATTAATAAGATACTCCTTCAGCCTTCTCTTCTCTGAGCTAAACAGTTGTGGCTCTCTCAACCTTTCCTCATATGAGAGTATGAGGTACTCATATGAGTACCTTAATCATATTTGTGGCCCTTCATTGGACTCCAGTATGACCATGTGTCTCTTGTACTGGGAAGCCCAGAACTGGACGCACTACTCCAGGTGTGGTCTCACCAGTGCTGAGTAGAGGGGTATAATCACCTCCCATGCAGAGCAGGATACCATTAGCCCTCTTTGCTGCAAGGGCACACTGCGGGGTCATGAGCAACTTGGTGTCCACCAGGTCCTTTTCTACCAACCTGCTTTTGAGCTGGGTGTCCCTCAGCCTATACTGATGTCTGGGGTTCTTCCTCTCCACGTGCAGGACGCTGTACTTCTCCTTGATGGGTTTCATAAGGTTTCTGTCAGTGCATTTCTCCAGCCTGCTGAGGTCCTCGGGTCTATCAGCCGCTCCTCCCATGTTAAACAGGACTGGACCCAGCATTGATCCCTGGGGTACACTGCTTGTCACTGGCCTCCATCTAGCCTTTGCACTGCTGATCACCACCCTCTGGGCCTGGCCATTCAGCCAGTTTTCAGTCCACCTTGCTGCCTGTTTGTCCAGCATCCATGCATCAAGTTTGTCTGTGAGGATCTTACAGGGGACAGTGTCAAAGGCCTTACTGAAGCCCAGGTAGAAAGTATCCCCTGCTCATGGACATGTCCGTGTCTAAATTATCTAGTTCAACTGGAAAAAGCATGGAGTTACCCATTCTGTCACACCTCCTGTGAAAACAGAAACTGATATTCATCCTGCCTGTCTAGCCCTCTGGAGAGACATCCTTCAGCCCAACTAGAGGACACCATCTCATTTTAGAACCTAGAAGATGGCATTGGTCAACTTACTGGTTTCTCTGAGTACCTCAAAAGGAGACAATGCCAGTATACTTTATTAATTGCTTCCTTGTGACTGCTGCAACTTCTTAGAGGGAAAAACAAAACCATGTATTATAAAACAACAGAGCTATGGTTGACAGAAGGACTTAAGGGAATTTTAAAAGAGTAGGAAAAATATAAAATGATAAACAAATTTGGAACAAGATAGAGAAGTAACATTTCGTCTGTCTGCTTTTAGGTGTTCTTATGAATTAAGACCATGACAGCACATTTCCTTCTAGATTTAATAATTCCAATAAATATTACCTTGCAATTAGAATCATTTAATGAAAAATTCAATTGTCCTCAGGTTTTAGTGCCATCAAGTAGAAGAAATGTTATCAAATTAATGAGGAAATCTTAAAAACTGAATGGCACTAGCCATTTTATAACATCAGCATTTTCACTAACAGAACTGCTAACATTGAGAAGATGATAAATTTAACTGATCATAATTTCCTTTCCTTTTTGATTGTTTGTTTTTATATATGTTCAGACTTGTCAATAAACAGACTTGTTTGTCTGATATTTTTTTTATCTCCTGAAGTTCCATAAGACCAGAAATTCAGGTGAGCCCTGTTTTCACTGAATGTGAAAAAGAAAATGAGAAAAAAATTTATGATAAATATAGATTTTTATATTATTTTGTTTTTTAAAACCTGTCTCTGAGGCCATAATTGACCTGACAATTTTTTATTTTTCCAGAGGAAAATTTTGAGTTCAGAAAGTTTCTACTGAAGTGGATTATCTACTAGTGCATTGTAATTTTTGTCATGAACCAGAGGCAGATATTGGGGATATAGATGCAAAAGAAATTGGGTGGGATGATGACAGAGAGGAGAGGCTGAGATCCATTTGAGGTTCGTGAGATTCATTCTAATTGTGGCAATGCATGAGGAAATTACATGAATGGTTGAGCAAACATTCAGTGAGTTTCTAATCTTGCATGTTTTGAACTTAATGTAATTCCCAACATAACTGTTTTGACAGTTGTGTCTGCACATATGTGTTCTTTACTGGAATTGTCCAGTCAAGCTATCTGGGATTGCTGTACATACAAAGCGCAGCATTGCCAACAGACAGAGTTACCCACAGTAACCGTCTGCTGCAGTGCAATATTGTGAAAGGGTTTCTAAAGAATGACAGCTTTAACTTTCCAGCCTGTTATTCCTTTTAAGAGACCTGAGATGATAACTAAAAAATAAGGCTTATTCTTAGTATGTATCAGTATGCTAGAGGAAGGACTGAATCTATACTTAAAATATTTTCCCATATGTGAAACAAAAGCGCATGAAAACATTGAGTCAGAGGAACCACAGCCTCCTGCAGCAGAGAAAGTGTAAAACCTTGTTCCATCTTTGGATTTCAGTTGAGCTTTGTTCTGCAAAATGAGCAGTAGATTTACTTGCAATTATTAGGATGATTTAAGAACTGCCATTCACTTTAGCAAGCAGGAATTACAATGCAACATATTCAGCTCAACACAACACAGCCGTGAAGGTGGTTGTTTGACTTCTGTTGCATATTATGGGAACTTTGGAAAACTGTGCCAGATTCAAGGAGGAGAGGGTAATAGCTGAGATGAACTAGAAATCACTTTGGCAGTTCTTTAAAGAAGGCATCCAAAAGTGTTGGCTCACAGGAAGATGTCTTTTAAATTTGGAAGCTCTTGTTAAATATGGCCCTGAATTAAATCCAAACCAGACTCTTCTAATATGAAATTTCCATTAAAAGTAATACTCCCATAGCCCTACATCAAATTAAATTGTAGGTAAGCGACATTGTTAAGTAGTTTGGCTTGCAAATTTATGTTTGATTAGGAAGTGTGTGGTAGTAAAATTACAGTAACATTTCAGGACCAAATGAAGTATGTATGTATGTATTTATTTATTTATTGTAAAACTCGAGGAGAACAATTTGACACAGCTTCTCTTTCTGGGTGCAAAGCAAAATTACTCTGGGAACAAAAAGTGATAGTGTTGTAACCAAGCCATAAGCACAATATATTCTCGGTTGAAATAACAACCAGTTTCCACACTGAAATGGGAGATCCCGAGTCCACTTTCACATGGAATGATCTTTATTTCAGTAGTCAGCAGTTTCAAAGCTGGGGGATACAGTATAGATTATTTTTGATTTCTAGTAGGTCTCACAAGAAATAAAATTCTGAAATCATCTTCTGTTTCAAGATGCATTTCCTTCTAATGATCTAGTTATGCAGCTTTTAGAAATGTATCTTTTCCCCCTACATGTTAAGTACAAAAGGCATTTACCTTACATAATTCTAGGTGTAAAATCAATAAGAGGCAAGAAGAAGCTATCAAGCTGATAGTTCTTCCTTGAGGACAAGGGTAAATGGGAATAACACTCATTAAGTAATTTCTCTTCCAGGAAAAGGATGTGACTCCCGATAGAAGGCTGCTGAGGCGAGTGAGAGAAGCTGCACTCCAGACTGAAAATCTTTCTCCTTTTATACATACGAAGACTTCCACATCCCTTACTGACTTTTTTCTTGCCCTTGCCATCTGCAATACAGTCCTAGTCTCCACAGCTACAGAACCAAGACAAAGGGTAATTGAACTTTAAATATATGAGGAAAGTTGATTATGCTTCCATTTAACAACATAGATCAGCATTCAGTGAAACCTGATTGGTAAAAAATAGCTTGTTTGGGAGTTCTCCTCTTAGTTCTCTTGCCTTTTGTGTAATATCTACTCTTTCCCTGCCTGTGTATATCCCTTCCTAACATGGCTTTTTATGTTTGATGAATAGCTATGGCCAGTACAGTATCTGCCCTTTTTCTTTTAGATTTTATATTATATATACTGTAATAAGTATGTTGAACATAGTGGGTTTTCTCTTAATGTCCCAGGCCATTGACAGAACTACAAGGTGCTTCAGAAGTAGAGATACAAATCACCATCAAATCTGAATGCCAACTCACCCATGACTCCTCTTCTGAATTCCCCCACCACAGTTAAATAGGGAGGAAGAAAAAAAAAGTTGCTTTTTTTAAGGTTTGAAAAGTATCTTGTGGTTCACATTTATTTAACTATAGGTTTTCTCATATTTCTAGGTCACAGTCCCACCACCAATAAAACCATCAGGAATCACCCTGGAGAAGATTCATCAGATATTTCAACGGCTAAAATTAGCAAGCCTTAGTCAGTCTTTCTCATCATCTCAGTCTAGTTCAGACCTAGGTGCTAGCTTCAGTGCAAAGAACACCGAGGAGCATCTTGCTGCATTGGATTGCTGTGACAATGATGGCAACTGCTGTGCCAGCGGTAGAGGCGATGAGTTCCAGGGCAAGGGCAGCACAGATATTGGTAGTGCTTCCTTGGATGAGGTTTTTAAATCTGTGACTAATAGTTCTTTGCCAACAGACTTTTGCTATGAGGCTGAGAGCCCAGATGAGGCAGCACTTGTCTATGCTGCCCAGGCATATAGTTTTACTTTAGTGTCCCGAACTCCTGAACAGGTGACCGTACGTTTGCCACAAGGCACACTCCTGACTTTTGATATTCTCTACACTTTGGGATTTGACTCAGTCAGGAAAAGGATGTCTGTAGTGGTGAGACACCCTCTAACCAAGGAGATTGTTGTCTACACAAAAGGAGCTGACTCTGTTATAATGGACTTGCTGGAAGACTCTGCCACAGGTAACTACCCAATAAGCTATTTCTGTGGGCTCCTATAAAGAAGCACAAGAGTTTGCAGTACACTTTTCTGCATGAAATATTATATCTAGGCATTAGAAGTATTTAAAAAAGAGTAAGTTTTCTCTAGTGTTATCCTTGCAGATCAGAACTGATGTATTTATTTAACCTGGGTAGTGCTTAGAATATGGAATGGGCTAATTAAAATTTACTGACAGCACTAACCCATGTGGACTGTGTGCTTTGCAATATACTGTCATAAGGGCCTGACCATTGTATTTCAGCTTGTCAGCAAGAGTGCTATGACATTAACAAACAAACAAACAAAAAACCCCAAGTAATGTTGTCTTAAAGGAAACAGGGTTCTTTAACAAGCTTTCAGCTTATGCACTTTTGAGCTTTTAAAGGAATTGTTGTTATACTGGAATTCAGTTTTCTCTAATGCCCACTTTTTTTTAATCTTAGGCCATTAGGTCTGAAATGATCTGTGCTTAAAATACAGAATCTTTTCCTTGTATTTCACAGCTGACATTAGTGCAGAAAAGAGAATGAAAAGAATAAAAGAAAAAACACAGAAGCATCTGGACTCCTATGCCCGTGATGGCTTACGAACTCTGTGCATAGCCAAGAAGGTAGGAGGGCACTAGCCTAATATTGTTTACAGTTTTGCTCGGTACATGTCAATAGATTTATTAGAAAAATGTAATGGTTATAATTCTTTCTGCTTCAGAGAACATGCCAGATACAACCCAATCAGATTGTCCCTCTATTTCATTGCTCTGCAGTTTCTTTTTCCTCAGTGTGAGTAGATGATGGATTTTTGGTCATCCTCAAACCATTCGTTTCTGTTTCTCTTATGTTAACTCTAGCTGACCTTCTCTACAGTGATTCCAATCAAGAAATAAAAAGTCCGCAGAGGAGCCAACCTTTTTCTGTTTTGCTTAGCATTCAGCTTTCAAAAATCTTGCCCTCAGCCTGAGTTAGTACATCTTAGCCTGATACTTTAATAGAGAAGTTGTCTATGTGCAACAAATAGGTCATATCCAAGCTCTGGAGAAATGCAGAGCAACCTTCAGAACCTGTGTGTTCTAGTTCAGGGTCCCCACTAAGGGCTGTGTGATCAAGGTTTCTCTAGGTCATGTGTTGACGTCTCAGCTGTAGGCCATTTATACAAATAGGAAGGCAGGTCTATTTTTCTCATGACTACTAGTTCTTGCAGTCTTATCTTGGAAAACTTTATTTTAAAGTACTTTACCAGCCTGGATAAGAGTTAAGTCTCTGTGATCCAGAATGTTGGCATTCTTCTCTTTTTTAAATTTAAAATGAGTTCTGTTTAAATTGCGTTATGCAGGTCTTGAATGAAGATGACTTTCAAAAATGGGCCAATTTTCGTCGGGAGGCAGAAGCTGCAATTGACAACAGAGATGAGCTGTTAATGGAGACAGCGCAGCATCTGGAGACCAAACTCACCTTGCTGGGTAGCTAAAAATAAAAATCGTCATTGCGTGAAGTATCACTTGCTCTCCTGTGATATTCTTGGCAATCAGACAAACAGCTTATACTAGTTTATACCAAAAAGTCTTCCTCTGAGGTTTGGAAATCTCAGGGCTAGGGTGTACAGTCCAATGACAATGTCTAAACAAGTTCTTGTACATTCTGAGCAGCAGTAACTTTGAAAGAGTGCACTGAAACTATCATGTGCCAGGAGAGTAAAGAACATTTACATCAGCTGTTAGTGGCACAGCTGACACAGTAGATAATGAAGTTCCCATAATTCAATCATGTGTCTGTGTCCTTAGATTAACCTATAAAATACTGTAAATTAACTACAGTTTTGAGCACAAATTTCAAGGGACTTTTGGTACTTAAACAGTAACTGAAACTCATAGGCAATTTCGCTAGTGAATTCCTGCTGTTGTTGCATTGTCATGTTTGCTTTCTGCACTTTGTAAAAGGATATTTCGTGTTAAAACTTAAATTCAGTGGCACTTGTGCATCATCCATCACCATTGTATCTAACAACACTGTTCTGTTAAATTACAGAGCACTTCAGTGCTTTATTTTCTATTTTGTTTCCAAACATTTTGTTCTTTAGGACTTTGATTTTCGGAGTTGCCTTGGTCTCATTTTTCTGTGAATACAATCTGTGCCCGTACTTCATTATCCTGAATTTCGGTGATTGCAAGCTATTAGCATTATGGCTTCTCATAATCTCTGCAGTGATTTAAAAAATTAGAGTAATAACAGTAAATGCCATAAGCAGAACCACATAAGAAGTAATGTAGATCTTGTCAGAATCTGTTACCTTTGCCAACCATTAAGGCTATGTGTGCTTTCATACTTTATTTCACAAAAAGTGTTCTTTTAGCTTAAATCATTATCTGTCTTTAATGCATCACAGTTACAGTATCTTCAAACTGACCTCTAGTGGAAGAGATAAGAACAGTATTGTAATATTCAGAAGGTGACTTACCATCAGGATGAGTGTTGGCTTCTGCTTCTAAGTTTGCACATTTTCAAACAGAAAACACTACCATTTCTTCTCCCTTTGATGGGTGAAGGATCTAACGACAACAGGGATAGCATTCATTTAAATAGTCAAAGTTCATCTTTTGCTTTGATAGGACTTAATGCAGCACTTTAAAAATGCATATGGAGTAATTCCTAAGCCAGTACATTGTCATTTTGGATTATTAAGAAGAAATGAAGAGCGTTGTTCTAGCAACGAGTAAAATGAAGAGCCAGAACTTGATTGCTGACACATTCAGATCTTAATCCAAATACAGAACTTGTGCCTGTGTGTTTATTTGCTGGACAGTACCTTGGCTCAGCTCTTGATTAGTTCAGGATCACAACTGGAAGTCAAAGACCTTTTCTTAAAAAAGAAAATAGCAATGTGTTTTCCAAATGAAAGAAAACTAATTCACTGCTTCTTTTCCTGTGTGCCCAGGAGCAACTGGGATTGAAGATCGACTGCAAGATGGAGTGCCTGACACCATTGCGGCTCTTCGAGAAGCTGGTGTGCAAATCTGGGTGTTGACAGGAGACAAACAGGAAACAGCAGTTAACATTGCATATTCCTGTAAACTCCTGAACCAGAGAGACACTGTCTTCACCATTAACACTGAAAATAAGTGAGTACAGAGAGATGCACAGAATTTACTATCTTTCCCTTTCTTTGTTTCTTGCAGCTTGGCACTGCTTTGCTTTAGGCTGCATTCAACACAAAAGAGCCAGTGAAAAACCCATATAGCTGCATTAGGCCAGAAACTCTTTAGACTCCACGTAACACACATAGTTGTTGATGTGCACAGATACTCCCTAAATTTCTATGGGCAATAAGAAGGTCAGGGAGCAGGCAAAGCAGACATACTCCAATATGAGAATAATCACTTCAAGGGCTCTCAGCTCCTGGGAATGACTAAAATACAGTGAACAATCTGTGGTGCCATCTATAGCTATTCCTGAAACCACCTGAATGGGAGAGAGAAAACCGTCCCAATTTTTGAAGAGGGTAAATGCTATTAAGGATGGTGAAAGTAAAAGGCTTTAGAAAAGCAAGCAGTGGCTTTTGCAGGTTGTGAAGCAACATAAGTAGGGTGTCAGGAAAACCACTGCCTTGCTTTTGGAAAGCAGAATGTGCACTGTGCACAGCCCAGTGTCTCATCCCTCCAGGCATCCTGGTGGCACAGATTGCTTCGTGAGGTGGATTTAGGGGAGAGCAAGTTCAAGCATTATGGTTAAACCAGACTCATTTGCTGAGAGGTCAGCCCTGATCATTTCTAACACCAAAAAGCAGGGTCCAAAATACCAGCTGTGATGTCCTTTTTTATTTTCTTACCAGTGCCCTTAGTTCCTGTACAGCCCTGGATGTCCTGAGCCGCCCCAGGCAGCAGTGGCTGCCCTCCTCCCAGTGTGCTGCTCTGTCCTTTCTATGGAGTAGCCACCTGTGGCCTGCACCCAGCAGTGACAGGAGTTAGAGGGAGCAAGCCTTTCTGTGGGTAGACAGGAGGCTGAGGAGGGAAGGCAGGGCTTCTTTCTGTCCCCGGGCCAGTCGCTGGTCTTGGCTGACTGCTTTTCTCCCCACAGAAGAGTTACTGATACAAGCTTGCCTTCTCTATAAAGCTATTGTGATGATTAATTAAATCTAGTTAAAATACTGACTGTTTTTCTCGCAATAGGCAATTGTATAAAGCATGTATAAAGTATAAAGATGGCCTACTTTCTAACTGCTTTTGTCTGCAGTTAGTAGCTCTCCAAACAAGAATGAAATCCTATGCAAATGTCTCTCTCTTTTAATGTCTCAGAAATAGGGAAACATGCAAAGATGATATGGAATTTGGCACGGAATACATTCCTTGCTTCAATGTGTAATTTAATTTGATACGCATATCTGCTTTAACAGAAGGCAAAATTAATATATTTAGGATGGAAATTAGAAGATGGTTTCTGTCAGAGAAGTGATGCTGCAGGCAGGACCACCCTGGCTCCAGGAAACACAAGCACATGCACAGCACCCTATACGGCCCTCGACCCAGGCTTGGATGCAAGCTGTGCACATATCAATTCTTGTGTGAATACATGTGGTTCAGTGGGCACTGGAGTTTCTCCGCAATAAGATTTAGTTTCTTCCCTTTCAAAATGAAGCCGAGAACATCGATTCTGAAAGTCTCCCAGTGACAGCAGCAGGCAAAAACAAATAATACACACAAAGCATTTCACCCATTAATTTTGCCAAAATTAACCCTTGACTGCCTTCAGTAGGAAGGGATTCTGTTTACCCCCTGAGCCCAGCAGCTTATTCAAACACTGAAAATTAAATATCTTGCAGGCAGAAGCAACACAAATAGGCAGTTTAGGGAATTATTTAAAAAGACAAGCCAAGGCAAATCAGGAATTTCCACTACAATTTTTTGATTGTTCACAGAAAGGCGATTCTTCTTCAATATTTTTTAGAGGGTTCAAGTGCGCAGGAGAGATGCAGCTTTTTATTAGATGTCAGAGGTACATTTGATTCCAGAACCTCCCACTTAAGTGTAATTTAAATCTTGCAAACATCCTACACATGTACCTTATGCAACATAAAGTGAAAATAACATTTTAGAACTGAATCATCACTCAATAAAGCTGACAGAAAAGGTAGAAAAGGGAGTGATTAGCTCTTCAGGTATTCAGTGCCATGCCACAGAAGGAAGACTTTTAGTACTAACAGGCAGCAAAAGAATTTATAGATCAGTCTGGGTTTTCTCTGATAGTGATGTGCGAATTTAGATCTGTATGGGAGAGGTAAAAGCACCTCCCCTTAAATCTGTGTGTATTTGATACTAATTCCAGTTCTTTGCATCTATAATAAAAGGGAACTTCGGTCCAAAATGAGGCAGGTTCACTAAGAAGGAAAGACTCAGTTTGTGTTTGAGGCACAGTGCTGGGCAATATGAAGCTTTATTTCTGTCCCTAACTGTGACACACACCTAATTTGTGACCTAGAAAAGGCCAAACTGTCAAAAATTACTGGGTAATTTTTAAAATTGGAATCTCTTGCTTCTCTACTGCAGTTTATTTCTGAGGGAAGCAAATGCTACAATATCTCATATCATTCATGTCAGAACTAGGTTTTTTTCAAATCTCCTTTAGAAGAAAAGGATTTTTTTAAAATTTCTGAACTCTCAGCATTCCAAGTATAAATATGTCCTCCTGATGTGACGATTATTTTCTTTTCTTTTAAAATAATTCCTTACACAGTTAACCAACTGATAAGATACACAGTGTTTTCACTGAATGATTTGATGACATCACTGAAATAATCTCCAGTCTGATGAATCTCTGTGTGTTTCTCGGTTTTCCCTAATGTTTATCTGATAGGCTTAAACCCACTGGCATAATTATACAAACACACACTTTGTAAAGCACTGTGCTGTAAAGGGAGATGGAGATATCTATTTCTAGAACCACTTCTGTTTTCTCACAGGAAACTTGTGAATCTCTCTTGAATTTAACCTTGGAAGAGGTGAGGAAGAATTACGAGGTTGAAAAACCACAGAGGAAGTTTTTTGGCATTATCCCTACATCTTGCTCAGCCTCTGAGGCCCCCAGTCCTGAGTTCGGACTGGTGATCGATGGACGGACGCTGAACGTCATCTTCCAGGCAGGCCTGGAGGAGCAGTTCCTGGCACTGACGAAGCACTGCCGCTCGGTGCTGTGCTGCCGTTCCACCCCTCTTCAGAAGAGCATGGTGGTCAAGCTCATCCGGAGGAAGCTGAAAGTGATGACCCTGTCAATAGGTACCTCCATTCTGAATCTCACAGGAAAAAGGGGGAAGGAGGTTCTTTCTTTATGAGGTTTTTTTTAGAATCGTCTAGGTTGGAAAAGACCTTGAAGATCATCCAGTCCAACCATTGACCTAACACTGACAGTTCCCAACTACACCAGATCCCTAAGTTATGGAAATGTATGGAATGGAGCTGGGATTGTTCAGTTTGAGGAAGAGAAGGCTGAGAGGAGACCTCATCATTCTCTACAGCTCCCTGAAAGGACATTGTAGAGAAGTTGGTGCTGGTCTCTTCTCACAGGTGATTAGTGACAGAACAAGAGGGAATGGCTTTAAACTGCAACAGGGGAGGTTTAGACTGGACATTAAGAAAAAAATTTTCACAGAAAGAGTGGTCAGACAATGGAATAGGCTGCCCAGGGAGGTGGTGGAGTCCCCATCCCTGGATGTGTTTAAGGGTCGTTTAGATGAGATATTGGGGGATGTGGTGTAGGGGAGAACTTTGTAGAGTCGGGCTGACGGTTGGACTTGATGATTCCAAGGGTCTTTTCCAACCTGAATGATTCTATGATTTCACATTGTATGAGCTATTTCTTGTGCCTTAGATAGTGGAAAATAGCACTGAATACTCTTTCCTGATCAAAAGCCACATGAAAGTCCTTCAGCTTTCACTGAGCAGATCTGGCCCCCATTTAAACAAGATGAAGGCACTCCAAAATCTCTCAGCAGTCCCTTTCATGCACACCAGTACAAACATGTGTACACATTCCCTCCAGAATGCCCTCACTTTGGGTGTGGAAAGCAGTCAATAGAAGTTAGTGTTTTGTCTTTTCTTAAAGCCCTTTTTCTGTCAGATTTTCCCAAATGGTAAAAACAGAGTTTTCCCCAGAGTGGTATTAAGCACTGACTTGCTTGCTTTTTACCTCCAAATAATGTGAAATGCTCTGAGTTTCCTGCTCTACTTCTGGTAAGTGATCCCCCTAAAATCCTCGCAGAATTGATTTTTATGACTTAAAACTAAAAAATATACCTCTGTGGACCAGAGAAGGAAGAGTCTGATGTATTTTTAATTTTTTTTACTTTGCCTTAGAGTCCAAAATATAAGCTTTCAGCCTTCTGCTTCACTGATTTTTCTTTACCAGCTAACCTAATTCACTGTCTCCACATTGCAGGCAACAACCATGGCTGGCCTTTCCACAGAAATTTGGTTATATATGCAGCAAGCTGAAATGAAAAGAATAAGTCCTGAAATTGGCTTGTTACACTGTCAACTACAATCAAATTTATCATATAATTTGGAGAGTTCAGTGAAGTAGGGTGCTGCAAAGCATGTCACTGAGCATATGGAGTTCACCAAGCAGAAACACACAAAACAGTGCAGATGTAGATGGTGTTGGGGTGGCCATGCCACCACCCAGCTGGTCTCAATGTCAGGCTTAGCTCTGGTGGATCCAGGTCTCCTGGGAAGGAGAGTGTTCTAACCAAGATCAGAGCCTAGAGGTCATGACTGCTAGATGCTGAGTATCAGTTACCCTAATTAAGGTGCATGGTAGTACAGAACAGCCTTTGTTTATCAGCATAGCTAGGGCTTTTTTCTTGTTCTGATATAGCCATTTTGTATCAAGCACCCTTTCTTGCACCTTTATTGTTCTCTCCTGTCTTCCCATTCTAGGGGATGGTGCAAATGATGTAAGTATGATTCAAGCAGCTGATGTTGGAATTGGAATATCTGGCCAAGAAGGCATGCAGGTATCTCTTCAATTTATTTCCTTTCCTCTTTTGTCTCATGGTCTCTTGCTGCTTAATAAGTTTCATAGCAGCCCTATACTCTTGAGTGTCATCTTAATGAAGCAAGTTGGCATCATTATTGTCGTAAATTAATATGCAATTTGTAATTATGGGTCCAGCCAAAAAAGAGTGGTTTGAGCCAACAATTAGCATGCATGGACAAACATGTGTTTGCTCATAAGCATGGAAAATCAGCAGATGCCAGTCCAGTGTTAGGTTAGCATCTGGTTTCTGAATCATCTCTGCTATAGCATTTCCAGGTTTTGCTGATTCCCTTTCAGTGCTTTCTGCCCCAGATTCTTTCTCACACATCCCCCTCCCTCATTCTCCTAAGATGGATAGTTCTGCAGAGATAGAAAATTCCAACTATTTTCTCAAGGGTGGTTTTTTTCTATAATATTCAATATTAGGAAACCGTTTCAATGTCCATGTTCAAATTTCATCATATTGAGTGGGAAAAAAGATACATTGCAAATTATCTTCTATTCTTTTTACTAAAGGCTGTGATGGCTAGTGACTTTGCAATATCCCGATTTAAGCATCTGAAAAAACTGCTTCTTGTCCATGGACATTGGTGTTATGCTCGCCTGGCAAAGATGGTGATTTACTTTTTCTACAAAAATGTGGTAAGATTATTAAAATTCTGGAAGTTTTCATCCTAGCAAGGATTAAGCCCCAGTCTGGGGGCTCTTTTTTTTGTTTTTGCAGGTTATACTCTCTTACTTTTTATGAAGCTACAGTTCCTGTTTCTTCACTTCGCAAGTTTATAGTATGCTACCTCCTTCTTAGTAATGTGCTGTATAAAGCATTGAGGAAAATATGGGTTCTAAATATATTTTGAAAAAGCATTATTCCAGGGGGAAAAAGGACTCAAGGCTTAGTAACTTTTATATGGTAATTCAAGAAACTTTATTAATAATACCCATGAGCCTCAAAATAAAGTTTGCATAAGGAAGCATTATTAGTGCTAGAATATAGAAGATGACTCTGCCCTAAGAATAGGTTGCTTGTGAAACCTCTGAATTTTTGCATTTATTTTGATAGGAACCACTTGCAAGGAATGATGCGGTCATAACTGGCATTTTTATTAAAAATTTAATGTATATACAAATGAGCTGTGCATTGAAGAATAGTGTAAAGTGGAAAAACCTGATAGTAATACAGTTTCTACAAGAGTGTGCAAACAAGTCCATTTGACCTGAAATGCACTCTGAGCATGAAAGACTACTTAGAATTCAAAGTATTTGTTTGGGTTTTTTAAATAATTTTAAATAAGAACTACTTATCACTGTTAAAATTTGTAGTGGAGTTGGAGACTTTTTCTTGATTGGGCATCCTTTTAGAGTTCAAAGGATATATATTTGCAATGTGAAATAGCTCTCCAGACTGGGATGCTGCTGTGCTATTATCTCCCGCTACCATTAGGGAGCAGGAGGCCTTTGATTCCGAATGGACAACCAGTTTGTAAAAGGATTTTAAAATCTGGTGCTCAGAGTTGTGAACAGTTTACTTAATTATTCTCTGGTATTTTCTTAAGGAAACATAATGGCTTTCAAAAAGCTGTATCACAGTGGATCAGTGTGAAGTAGACCCTTAAGATATGGAATCTTCTGGAATAAAGTGCAGAGCTGTCTACTGATGGTACCTTTAACTAAAATAATGGCTTCTTGGGAGGCTGTTAAAAAACAATACACTAGGTAAACCTCGTAGGTGAAAATATGAGAGACACAGACAATGTATGAATGCAAATTAAAGGGTTCAGAACAGCTGCAATAGTAGGGAACAGCGTGGAGAAAGGAAGAGGACGTAAAGGAGAGGCTGTAGGAAATGTGCAGCTTCACGACTCCCACAATCCAAAGAGAAATGAAATCACATCAGCATGAAGGATGTGCTTCTGCACAGGTGGGGAGCCACACTTCAACTTGTAATAGGATGTTGTGTTTGTGTTTGCTTCTCCACAGAGCTACGTCAACCTGCTCTTCTGGTACCAGTTCTTCTGTGGGTTCTCAGGCAGCACAATGATAGATTACTGGCAGATGATCTTTTTCAATCTCTTCTTCACCTCGATGCCCCCTCTTCTCTTTGGAGTCCTGGATAGGGATGTTTCTGCAGAAACACTTCTAAGTTTGCCCAAATTGTACAAGAATGGACAAAATTCAGAGGTATGTCTTGATTGCTGAAATAACTGCTTGATAAGCCAAAGGACCACAGATTTTTTGGTTTCATGAGGAAGGAATGAGGAGTTTATACTTACTTGGAACCAAATAATCCATTTGTGGTTTCCAGTTTACTGATGTGCACTAAAAGAAGGTATAATTGTAGCTGTCAGAAGAACTGGTAAGGAACTTATGACTGAAGTTGCTTCCTGGCAGTGAAGCTGGGTGCTTGGTCATAGTTGGAAGATGTATATGGGAAGGTTTATTCTGCCATTAAATATATGGAGCAATTCAGTTCGGTACCAGCATGCTGCATGATAATAAGTGATGTGCTAGCAAATCAACTCTGAGTTTGTTGTTTCTGATCTGGAGAGATAGCAGACCAAATATGTGTGGTATGTGTATTTGTAGATATCACATATATAGATGATTTCTTAGTGAAGGTATAGCGAGAAATAAAGGAATCATGATAAGAAATGTAACAAATGAGGGTAAAATAGTTTAGCTGGTCCCTGATTAAACTCTGCTTAGATTTGGTGCTTTGAACAGTCTCAACCTACTGAAGAAGAAAAGCTTGTTAAAAAGATTACAGCAAAAATGACAAGAAAATGCAAACCATTAAATCAATAAACAACCTGACATTTCTACTCGCAGGTTTAGAAATACACCTGTTAATACATAAAGGATTTTGTCACAGTTTGGTATCTAGGCTGTTCCAGGCATTAACTGTTTCATTTATTCTTTTATTTCAATAGCCGGTATTATGCAGAAAATATGCATGAAATATGTTATGTTTTTACCTCAGTTTGCCTGTCAGGTTTAGAGAACCAATCTGATCTCTGTATGTTTGCGAGGAGCATACATACCAGGTTTTGCATATGCATATAGTACAGTAGCACTTATTCCCAAACTGCCTTAACATTTTTAACAGGAAATTATGGAAATAAGCAAAATTTGAAGTGACCTTAGTTTTAAATCACAAAATTGCAGGGTACTTGGGAATTCTTCTCTTTCCTTCTCTTTCTCCTAATACCTACTTTCATTATCCTGGGCTTTTTAGCAGTGATTTTTCGCACTGATGAACACTGGTGGTCCACATCATGTTTAATGATGCTTTGAAAAACCTATGCAAGGGAGTGCAAAAATTTGAGGATTCTCTGTAGAACTTTCCATCCCTTTTCTTATAAGCTCTTGGACTTCACATATGTGTAAAATATATGTTCTTTACTATTTTGAAGAGATTATTGTTGTTGCTTTGGCATTTTGTTTACACTGAAACGACAGGAGTCCAGTCTTCTGTCACTGCAATAATGCATCCCACTCCACAGGAGCTGTGGCCCCACAGGTTGCTGGAGAAGTTTGAATATGACAAATAGTCAAAGTAAAATGGCATAAAACAGATGTTTCAGTGGAAGAAACCTTAACATAAAAGATTTTTGACCAATTCTATAGCTCTAGGAAGAGCTTTGTGTGAAAAAGAATTTGAGGAACGGGGTCCTTTGGGGAGGGAAGGGGCATTCATGACATTCAGCTTTTAAGACCCTTAGTTGATTGGCTAATCTTCCTAAGGTCTGTCTTTAGTTAAGGCAGAGAAAATGCCTGTTCAGAGATAAACTTTTGGTCTAAATCAGCTGCTCAGGAGGCATTTACTCATGAAGAGTCAGATCAGTTAGCTATAAACAGTAGTCTGAATGGAAGAAAAACAGACAGCAATTATGTCTGCAGGACAGACTAGAGATGTGTGTCCCATCATAATTACTGTTATCTATAAACTCCTGCAGATATACAAGCTGTCAACTTTTATTATTACAATGTTGGATGCCTTCTATCAGAGCCTCATTTGCTTCTTTGTCCCCTATTTGGTAAGTACAATCTTCATTAATATTCTCATATTAAAAATTTTAAAAATCACTTCTGAATACTCAGGGTTCATCACACTCTATCTGCTTGTTTTCTAGACATACAAGGACTCTGACATAGATATGTTTTCCTTTGGAAACCCCATCAATACCATCTCCCTCCTGACCATTCTCTTGCATCAGGCTTTAGAAATGAAAACGTGGGTATGTGTTTGACCTGTCCTGTTCACGAGACTATTTTTCTTTTGTGAACATAGCATACTGTGTAGACATGGCATTGTCCCTCAGAGACATTTACCTGAATTCTGGGTCACAAAAAGTAAGTAACAGATGCACTGAGATTTCACAATGTGCCAGAACTGATTATTAGCCTCAGGATAATACCTTGTGCACAGTGACAAAATTTGCTTCTACTGTGCCTTTCGACAGAACACAATTTTTACATACTTCAATATACGAGAACTTATTTCTCAAAGAACTGTAATCACTGTCACTGTTGTTTTGCAAGTTAATTTCTCCTACTGCACTTTTCAGTAGCATGGACTATTGGATATGTTCTTTCCTATGTGTCTTTGTATCCGCCTGCCTTACACCAAGACTCAGGGTCTTACAAGCATCCCTTTAATTTCATGCAATTCTGCTTACAGACCCTGTTCCACTTGGTAACGATGGTTGGCAGTGTGGTGTTTTACTTCATCTTCTCTCTGATCTACAATGCCACCTGCGTGGTCTGCAACCCTCCCACCAACCCTTACTGGATTATGGAGAGACAGCTTTCAGACCCCACCTTCTATTTACTGTGTCTTATTACCCCAGTCATCGCACTCTTGCCAAGGTATGAATGATGAAGTGTTCCTCTCAATTTTCATTTTGTGGATTTGTGGCATTTGAGTGAAATAACAAGTGATGTGGTAATGATGTTGAGCACATGTGTTCACAGGGCTGAGTGGTCAGTGTGGAAGTCAGATGTCTGGATTCAACTTTCCAGTTCATGAACCTTTAATTTATTCAGTTATATAACCCTAGATAAGTCACTGTATATCTACTGCTTTTGTTTTCTCATCAGGAAAACCTTTATTTCTGGAGTGCTTCAAAGTTTACCAGTACAAATCTGCTACATACTTGTTCACTATCATAAACACAAAGTTGTTGAGCTGATCAAGACTAGAAAGCAAGTCTTTGAAATATTCCTGTGTGCTTTGAGAGTTACAAAATGTATTCTTGTTAAGTATATTACAGTGCATTACTAAGCCAAATTTAAGAACATGTTTCTATATGAAATAATTTTCTGCATCCAGAATTTTAGTTTCACTCCGTGCAACAGATCAGGTATGTTAAAGATAGATTTGACTGAGGCTGAATAATATTTGGAGAGGGATAATTATTTTGATAGGTTGTTGAAAAAAATGGTTTCAAAAACATAAAGATTCTGTTCCCGTATATGTATATTGTAACCTTACTGCTTTTGGTGCTTAATACCTTAATCTTTCTTTAAGCAGATATTCTTTGTCTGAGTTACACCACTTATTTTAAAATCTTTATTTGTGCTTGGACAATGAAAGAAATGGGTTTGTTTGACTATCTTCTCATCCTAATTGTCATGAAGTAGTGCAGCACACTGGTATTGCAAGAATCAGGAAAATATCCTTAGTATCTGATTTTATAAATCCTTTAAGGCATTAGAATCTGAGCGTTAACTCTGTCTAAAGAGGACCCTTTCAAGATTAGACTATATTTTTCTTCAAATTATTATTATTATTATTTCCCCATTTGAGTTGAGATGCTCTTGTGATTTCATGTTATATAACTTCAGGTCAGGATAAACAACACACAGTTCAGTAAGGTCTTCTAGGCAGAGCATCCTTTCCCAGTCTGTTCTGTTCCTGTGTGATTTTTGTTTTCCTATCAGCCCTCATTCACAGGGTCATTTTTGACTCTGAGCTTTCTACTGAGAGCTATATCAAACACGTGGTTAGAGAACTCATATCTCCATCTTGGGAATTCAGCAAGGTTGTTGTTGCTGCCTCAGCAGGATACTGAGTTTAACAATTTGTATCTTGATATCTTCAGAGTTGGAGAACTGCTGTTCCTTCATGTATGTACCCCAGATTATCTTCTGCAGAGTCCTCAATTCACAGAATACCCATCCCCCAGTATCTGCTACAGTTTAGCAGCATCAGCATATCACAGCAGTGATGAAACCACCCTTTGTTAAAATGGACTTAATTTTAGTTTCAGTTGGTTCATCTCACCACGTTGCTTGCTCCCTATCTCCTTCAGAAATCAGTTGGGTCCTTGAGATTCTGGTTTCTTTCTAAGAGGTTTTGTTAAAACCCTTGCTCTCCTCAGTTCTTCCTTTTGCTACTGCCTTCTGTGCTAGCTGACATTTCTGAGACACTGCAGGCACTCAGGGGGCACTTGCCTGTGCCCTGCCTGCATCCAAGCTTTTCCTGGACCACTGTCTGGCAGCACTTTGCAGAGCATCCTCTGTGCATCTTCACCTTAGAACTGCCTCTGAATTTTGTTTTGCGACACAAACTACACAGTGTGAGGTACTAAAACCATCTAATCTGAGATGAAGAAAGAGATCTGAATTTCATGTTCATTCATTGCCAAGGGAAGGCACTGTGTCTTTTGGAGGATTTCAATATACAAACCAGATATATTTCTCCAGCTGTGGAAGGCAGACTGCAGTCTGCCAGGAAGCCCTGCAGAGCCTCAACATTTTGAGGGCTCATAATTGAGTCTTGTACCCTGCAGGGCTGTAGGAAGGGCAGGAGCAAGTGAACGCAGGTCACGGAATGAAAGACACAGTTCTTCCCTTCTCTGTCCTCCTCTCTGGTCCACTGGCAACTTGCACAGAACATACAGAGGGCAACTTGAGGGGAAAGACAAAGGACACTATGATCCATACCAGATCTACACAAATGGATCCCAGCTCTCTGTAGCTGTGCTCTTAGCTGCCCAACCATAACTAGCAACTGCGCAGTTCCCAATCCTGAGATGCTATGGGATTGAGCAGCCTGAGCACAGGCATAGCAAATACATGTTTATCCATTCCTACTTGTGCAGATAGGCCTGAGAAACCCATTGCCTTAAAAGACCTTTCTGTACACAGTCTAGCTTGTTAGGCTTTTTAATCTCATTATATTTATTTATGCATACATTTAGCAGCAGGATGTGACGATGACAGCTTTCTTAATGCAATTTCAAAGAGTCACCATGTTTGTTTTAAAATGCATATTGAGGCCATCTATGTAAAGGTCAAATCCTATTAGAAAGATGCTTTGAAAGAGACTTTGGTTTCCAGACAAAACGGACATGACATGGAGGGAGGATATGTGCTCTCTCACTGCACACAATATATAGTTATATAAGTTCTCTGTCCTGCAAAGGGCAGGTAGGACTTTTTTTTTTTTTTTTAACTGCTTCCTGAGAAAGTCCACACACTGAGGTTTTTTAATTTCTGGTTTTATGTTACCTATCATATTAAGATCCCTCCTTTAGCCTGTTTTAGCAGTATAAATAGTCTCAGTCTCCTCAAATACTGCATCTCTTGGTGAGCTTCTATGTATCTTTCTTGCACTGTTCAGCATTCAAGTGGGTCTATTATAATGTATTTAGTATTTATATGCATGTAGTTGACTCTATGCAGGTCAAGATAAGTATAGTTACATGTTGCATTAAGATCCAGAAGTCAACTTTCATCTACCAGGTATAAGGTGTCTACCAGATGACTTTACAGCAATGGAAAATTAGCAACTGGATTTGTGTTATGCAAGGAACCCCCTTGTAAGACAATTCATTCTCTTCCTCTTTCATCAGGTTCTTTATTTTTGCTCTGCAAGGAACCTTTGGAGCATCTCTGATTCTGAAAGCACAGCAACTAGATAAACTTCCTAAAGGTCAACAGGATCTTGAAATCCAGAAGTTGAGATCAAGAAAACAAACTACCTCTGGTGCACCTGTAGTATCACCTGCATCTAATGATGACCTTGACCAAAACATCAGCCACTTATGTGTGTCACCATTTTTACATCCAGCAGCAACAGCTGTCTCTCAGGGAGACACAGAAACTCGGGGACTTTCCACCTCTGATGTGAATCCTCTCAGGAAAGAGACACCTGAAGAAGGTTACTATTTCTTTAATAGGTGGGCAGAGGAAGAATCTACTGCTACAGACTCTTCAGCAGGACCTTTCTCTGGCCATTACCCCCCTGTACCCAGCAGGGTAACAAATCCTGGACAGAACAGTGGCAAACTGACTAAAGATAATACTAACAATTTTAATCATGGAAGCCATCGGCGATCTGTGAGTGCAGTGACGCTCTGAAGAAACATTCAGAAATGGGATCCACAGCCCATGTGGAAAAGGATACCATAGGGAAAATAAAAGGTCTATTTATACTTAACCGTGATGCTCCCTCAAAAGGAGAGAGGCATGTGGAGTAGTGCAATAATATCTCTAATATGCAACTTTTCCTATGTGCATATATAGTTTCGGTTTGTCATTACATGACTTCTTGATCTTCCTGGTTCTGTTTCATTAGAGGAATGTTACATGAGCATCACACAGTTGCTGAGAAATGTACAATTACTTTCTTTCATCAAGGAATATTTTTCTTTCACAGTAATAGATAATAATTGTACTAGTGATGTTTCAGTGTTATGCTATTGAGGTAATAGAATGAGAATCCATTCTATATTAACCTAAGTCTTAGAGCAACACATCCCACTCTAGCTTTTACTAGCAAGGTCTTAAAAAGACCTTACTAACTTAAAAATTAGAGTTCTGCCTGGAAAAAATGTTACCTCCTGGTACTAAAGCTATTTGCAGAATAACAGCATCAGAAAGAGATTAGAGAATGTTCTGCTTTTTAATATATGGACTTCATACATATAGAAATATCAGGTCTATAGTCTGTTTTCCCTGAACAGTAAGCTCAGTATTTTTATGCAGGCAGTGGTTTGACCTGATACTGTTAAGAAAAGTAGAAATGAGTTTATAAAGTAGAAGAATGCAAATACTGAACTGCAAGAACTGACAGGATAACTCAGGGATAAGTGGAATCTACTTGTTGATACCTACAAAAGCAGACAGATATAAAAAGTCAAATTCAAGGATTTATGTTCTGGAATTCTAAAGTTGTCCCTGCTTTTTCATCTAGAAACTGAGTTTCTTCCTTCCATTTTCTATATAATTATGTAGTGTTGCTGCATTCAGTCAAGTATAAATCATGCTCCTCCCTAAGCTGGTTACATTCACTAGTTGATAGAGATCTCAATAACAGAAATTTTGACAAGCAATATATGAAGGTCACTAATCACATTGCAGTAAGTACATGCTGTAGAATGACCAAAATATGCATAATATGTTCATCCTTTTCAGTATCTCAGGGCAACAAGATGCAGGAAAAAGAAACATAAAATGTCACCATCATCACTACCTATTGCAATGCAATGAAAGGTGACTTTGGTATTTCTTATAGAAATGTTGACTAGTAAGACCATTTCCCAACTTTTTCTTCACAATGTGGGGTAAAATCGTAACTATGTTTTAAATTCAAACAATCTGTACTTTTGTAAATCTACCACTGGTTCTGATTTAAGTAAGTTTTTAGCTTTTTTATACATGCTATATTAATTTAGCTATTTACTACTTATTACGATGTGTGATCTGTTTAATAACCTATTTAGCAAATACTAATTTAAATTCTGTGTGTTATAATGACTGTAACTAGAGTCTTCAATATGTTACTTTAAAGTAACCAAAAAAAACATTTAAAAAATTGAGTAGCATATCTGCCAATGCGATTTCTGGTAGTCAGAGCAAGACCACACATAGAACTATAATTATTAAAGTATTAATTGTCAGATGTTAAACAATTCGTAAAGAGATTTTTTGCATGATGCACAAAATTAAGGAAATTTTGCATAGCTGAGATTATTGTTAATGGAGTGTGAGATTGTTCAAATGTTTGCCCACTAGCTGGGAATGGACCTTGGGTGACAAGACTTAAGATCAAGCCTTTACAATTCACAGCCATGTTTTTACATTAAATGGTCCATTTCCTTTGAACTTAAAGAAGATGCCAATTCCTTATACATTTTATTACAAAATGTGGTGTTTTTATAGTAATAAATGTAATATGATCGTGACTCGGTGTGTTGTTGAGAGGACAAAAAAACAGAGACAGAGTAGTGATTTTCCTGTTGTCATCCATGAGTGTCAAACTCATGTTTTCAGAGGCCACTACTCTATCTAGTAGGCCATGCTATAAGAATGCTTACCAAAAAAAAAAAACCTAGATAATAAATTTATCTGAATGTGTAAGGGGACCAAGCATATATGGGAAAGGGCCAGACAGGTTATGTTTAAGCAAATCTGGAAGACCTGTAGATGTTTCTAAATTCAAAGCCAAGAACTAATCTCATGTTTTCTCATCACAGCTTCTGCAAAACCATTCTGCCATGCATTTTGCTCTGACAGCTGGGCTTAGGTTCAGAAATGGAATATAGTTAAGGGAGGGTCCTTTTAAGAAGGGGAATGAAGGAAGGATTGCTTATGATCTCCAGAAAATAGCCCCTAAAATGATGGAGTCCCTGCTATGTCAGGGAATAAAAGATGCGGAAGACAGCCCCTCTCTAAGTAGCTCCTAGGCTGTAACTAAAACCAGTTACTCCAGTTAAAAGAAAGAAAGAATCCAAAGTTGCATGGCTGCCTTCATAATTCTACAGCTAGACCTACAGTCTGTTAATTCTGTCGTGTGGTAGATGTTAACAAAATGGTCCAATAGATACATTTACCTGGAGAGTTTGCAAGATAGAAGAAAAGCCTCCCTGATCATTGAGAAGAGACAACTCTGAAACAATCAGAAACAAAGGCAGTATCGGGCAAGACCTGGCCTCTGCATCCCAGCTAGCTCTGCAGCTTTAGAAAGCTCTCTGCTGATCCCTCTCCTCCTGTGTGAGAATGCTAACATCCCTCCTCCAAAGCAGATATGCTGCCATAGTTCAGGACCCACATTCACTGCTAAACAGTGTGGTCTTTTCTATGTTCCTGGGGAAGCAGCGATCATGAACTATCTCATGTTAAAAAGATGGTGAACAGGCGCTTTCCTTTGATCATGAGGTAAATTAGCTGAGACGATCAATCCCTTTGGGAAGTAGGATCTAGGGTTAAAAACCTTCTTTTTTTTTTTTTTCCGAAAGCAGGCCTACAGTAAGAAAGCAAGCCCTCCAATCAATTTATTTCCACAAGGGAAAGTGTATTTACTAAATGGGTTATCCAGACCTAACTGGATTTCCAAGCTGGCTTTTTTTTTATTTGAACACATATTTAATACTACTGTCAGGAAACATGTTCCATTAGTTCTAATGTGAATGCTTCACAACAGAACAGGTGTCTCACTTTTTAATGTATCCTCTGATAATATTTAACATTTCATATACTTGGACTATAAAACACTACAAGTAATGGGTTTTTTGTGAAATCACTGCATACCTTTTATTCTGGTCTATGACATTATAATAATTAATAATAATGTATATGCAACAGTGCTTTGAGCTATACAGAGCTATACGTATGTGGCAAACTCAAGGTGGCACCTCGTATAGAGGTGAAGAGGAGCCAAGTTACCAGGTCTATTGGTAGCTGAGTAACAGGTGCAGTCCCAGGCTGCTGGCAAAGGCCAGTGACGAGCCATCCATCATGTTCTCAACAGAGGCAAGTTGTTCGGGGTTTTTCTAATATAAGGTGTGGGAAATGCATACCTGTCTACAATTTGTTCATGTCTGTCTTAGCACAGCAAGTTGGAGATATGTTCTTTGGCACTTATAGCTGATTATCTACTGTTCAGTCTAAAATCCAGAATTATTCAGGTGGGATAGAGGGCAGAATCCAGTTTGTTCTCTTTTCTTATATAACTCAGAAATAAAAAAACAGGTTTTAAACTATGTAGAGATAGGGTGTGTCTGGTGCTCCAGCACAGAAACCACTTTTCCCAAGGATGAACTGCATGTATTTTGACACTTTGTTGGCTGATGCTGCAATGTTTAATTCATTTGTTTGATTGCAGTTTGAGGTGGTGTGGGAGTACAGAGCTATTTGCTTTTGGGGATAAGGTGACTTCAGGCAGGATGTGGCACGATTGGGTACTTGTAAGCAGCACTGATGAGTAAAAATATAAACGTGGAGACAAGAGACTCTTAAAGATAATGATCACAGAGGGTGGGATTTAGAGAGCTGACCAGATAACACTGAAGATCTATAAAGTACTTTTGACACTGCCAGTGATTGGAACTTGCTGCAATTACCAGAACATGAGACAACTGTGAACAGAACTTGCTGCGGGGCTCTTTAATAAAACACCTGATTATTCTCATACATAAACAAGACTGAGATTGAATAGAGTCTGAATCATTATTTTTCCAAAAGTATCAGAGGGGTAGCTGTCTGTTGTCTGAAGGCACTGCAGGCGGTGGTTGTTTATCCACCATCCCCAGTGCAGGGATACTGAAGTATGCTCCCACCTCCGGGCATACTTGCCAGGTTTCATTCCATGTTAGTGCCCAAAGAAATGATGGGGTTATTGTGTTCTTCACCAGGAGAGCAGAACTCTAAATGATGATTACTCTAACTAAAAGGTCAAGTTTTGGCTCCAGGGAAACTGAATTTTGACCTTGACTTAACAGAAAATAAGTCATTAGCTGCTGCTTTGTTGTTGCCCTCGGTTCAACCACGCAAAGCAGAGTCAAGGTCTTTATGGGACTAGCGGGGAGCAGTTTAACACGTCGTTGCTGCCAGCCCTGGGGGCTATTTCTCTGCCCACAGTTTGTTGCCCTTATCACAAGGGTGACACAAGAACCACAGATAATCTCTTCAACTGCTTCAGATAACTCTGACAAGAAACTTGTCACAGCTCTTGGTTATGTTTTCAGCTTTCAGATCTTTTTTCCGTTTTGCCTGTAGTCCCTGTGAGATTGTGAAGCCAGCCAGAAAGCAAAGCTGGGCTCTAAAGTTGAATGCATTGGTTTAACAGCTGCTACGCTTACAGTACCATGGAGTGTTCCAGCGAGTCAGCAGATGCGTTAGTCTTCCTGGGCACTGCACTTTGCATGAGATGGTGGGCATCCAAAGAACCTCAGATGGAGAGAATATATTATTCCCAAACACTGAAAAATGTTTAAGTAACCAGTACATTGGACAATGAGTGTAAGCACAGCAGTAGCCTTCCTTTTGTATGCTGGTATTCCTCCCTGGTTTACTAACATCGTTCTATTTAACCTCATTTAGGGAACTTCCGTACTTTTATTGGTTTTATTCAAAAATGTAGATCAATAGGCTGCAGGCAGGTCAATAGAGCTTATTTAAAATCAGCTGGACTCAACTGACATTTTGTTAGAGCCTATCTTGTTTTGTTAATACTTTAATTCTAAAGATTTTTGCCAGGATCTATATATGCTAAATCTGAATGGTTCCCCTTTCAGAATGTTCAGGCAACTTGCAGCCAGTAATGTCATGATCTAAATCAAGATTTGAAGAGGAGAGCAGATCCTTGGTTCTGTTACTGTGTACATGGGATAGAGCAGGAGATGAACTAATAATTACCAAACCCGGGAGTACACCATAATGATAAAGGAAGAACATGAACACGTCCAAGGCCTTCTGGAGATTTCCAAACAAAACTCTTGAATTACTTTCAGAGATCACTCAGGGCTTGGAGTGTCTAGTGAACATGTTTTATGAGTAAAATGAATAACATATGCATCCATGTATGTTCTCGGTTGAGTGCAGAGGACTGTGAAGAATGGCTCCACACTTGTCGACTAAAATGATTTTGCTTTTAATCTTGTTCTGAGAGGAGTTAATGCTGTTATGATTCAAATACAATTTCTCAAAAATTCTGAACATATATAAAGTATGAGAATCTGTTCTTAAGATCCTTTGCTTCTTTTCATAATCTTCAGTTTCACAGTAAGGAGGGAATATAGTCCAGAGACATCAAAGAGCCAGAATTGTGCTTGCAGCTATTAGTTCTCAGATGAAAAAAACCCAAAGCTAAAATTTACAGCCCAAAGGAATCTTAACTCTCCAGGACGTTTTAATAAAGGGAGTCCAAGCACACACCAAATAAATATTTTAAATCCTAATACTGATTCAGAAGGCATCTTATTTAAGGAATATTCTGACACGACATGTGCATTTGACTTGCATTTATTTAAAATTTAGACTGATTTGCAGATTCTTGACATTACTCCACATAACTGGTTATTTGTGATGTATCATAGTTTCACAGAAATGTAAGACAGTAGAGCATCTCAAGAGAGAATCTGATCTCTTCACATAAGGAGTTACAGACAATCCACATCAGCTATTTGTCTACCCAAGTGTTTATTAACAAAAAAAAAAAGAAAAAAAAA